ATAATAATAATAATAATAATAATAATAATAATAAATAATAATAATAATAATAATAATAATAATAATAATAATAATAATAATAATAATAATAATAATAATAATAATAATAATATAATAATAATAATAATAATAATAATAATAATAAATAATAATAGTAATAATAATGATAATAGTAATAATAGTAATAGTAATAATAATAATAATAATAGTAATAATAATAATAATAGTAATAATAATGATAATAATAACATAGTCTGACATATATATATATATGTTCTAAAAAACAATTAGTAAGTTTATTTATAAAACACGTTTTTTTGGGATGAATTTAAAAAAAGGGATGAAAACGAAAGAAGAGAAATATTTGAGCAAAATATTGCAAAGTTAAAGGAAATTTATTGTCACATTATTATCAATCAAATTTAATTCGCATCTCGTTTTTTTCCCCCTTTCTAATTAATTGCATGGATAGAATTCTATTACTGCTTTTGTGATAAGATTAAAAATAAATTTGTATGATTAATTTAAGCATTCCCAATAATTTTACATTAGTATTTGTTAATCAGGCTAATAAATGATAATACTATCATTAGATATATGCCGTATACAAATTGCAATATGGGCTAGAATTTGAATTAGTGAAAAATATTTAAAAGATATTGTATCTCCCCCTTTAAAAAAAAAAAAAAAAAGGAATGAAGAGAAAAGTTATCGTTTCACTGATAATTTGTTTATCTTGAAGTAAAAAAATAAACGCTTAGCTGATAAATTACTTGTACTGAAATAGCACTTATAATTTTAGTAATATAGTGGAGTAGAAAAAAAAAACGAAAAAATGGGTAGGATTATATGTAACACAATGGTAATGATAGTTTTAAATAGTTTCGAGATTTTTCCAAACTTGGGTGAATCTTTCATGATTGTTTTCTTCATGCTGATCTTTAATCTTTGATCATTGTACTCTTAAGTTTTTGCTCTATTCAAATTATAGCATAAAAAAAAAAAAAAATGGATGAGAAGAATGCATAATATATCCATAAACGGAAACGAAATTGTCAAATTTCATACAGGTGGAAAAGCTGCAATTTATTGAAAATTCATCAAATTAAATTAGCAATATTCAAAACAATTTTGTATAACCGGCATGTAACAATCAATTTTAGTGCTAATATTTCAGATAAGATATTCTATCAAATACAATCAAATCACATAGCAATTTTATAAATTATAAACTGTATAATGGTAATAATTTTGATAAAATTATACACCTCTAGCTAAAATTGTTTAATATTTCGAATTTAAACTTGACAATTTAAATGTTTGTAAGCTTCAAATTCAAATTTTAATCAAAAAATAAACACATCATTCAATTCTTATCAGCCTAATTATAGAAGCTTCTAATTTAGCAATAATATTCGCTTCTTTTTAATCAAAAGAAACAATGCTGAATTGGTTAGTTGGTTTTTGATTTATTATCATCCGTCATAATTACCATATGTTGCTTTCTCCTAGCATTTGCATAAATTGTTGCAGCAACAATTGCAATCAATCCACCGATACCTATTACCGTAAGTGCTTGACTATCATCCTGAAATATTTGAAATNTAAGTGAGTCCACCGATACCTATTACCGTAAGTGCTTGACTAATCATCCTG